ATATATATATATATATATCCTATTTAGGAGCTGATTTTGGGGTTGTGATTTTTTCCTTAAAAAAAAAAAACACAAAAACGTGAAAGGGAAGAGGGATTATGATCAATTCTATTTTATCGGTGATCGTCACCTACGTTCTTCACTGGCGAGCACCGGCCTTCGTAATTAACAAAGTGGTCATATAAAGATTGAGAAAAGTATATTTTTTTTTTTAATTTCTGCACTTGATGATGATGCAAATCCCCTCATTCTTCTTCTCTAAAAACTACAAAGCAATCCTACTTCTCTAATTAAACTCACTTCTCTTTCTAACTTTTAAACCCACAAGGCAAACCTACATAAAACCCACTTCAGTGATTTTAAATTTTTTTTTCTTCATAAAATCATTTGTATATTTGTTTGTTTTGATTTATATATATATATATATATACATAAAATCATTTGTATATTTGTTTGTTTTGATTTATATATATATATATATATATCGTCTCTAAGTTTTGTCTGTTAGTTTAGGTCGATCGCCGGAAGAGGAGAACGACTGGGGGAGGGTTGTCAGAGGGATTGAGAGTTGCCGGATCGTTGGTGGGGAAGGTGGCCAACAATGGGGCTGGTTATGTTCAATTTCTTGAATCTGAAAACCCATCCATGACAGAGATTGGCCAAAGATTTGGGGATCCTCTTTTCTCTCTCTCTCTCTCTTTATGCATTTGTTTTATTTTTACTCCTATCTTATTTTTCAATTTACTCACCAAAACGATGTTTGAATCTCTGCCCTTGGTTTGTTGAGTGGGACACGCATCGGCCATCCATAGATCAATGTAAGAGATCACTGTGAGGGCATTCCTCTAGAGGATCTTGTGTTTTAAGGCGTGAAGCTTTAGATTTAATTCTTATGGAGATGAATTTGATATTTTTTGTGGTGTTGATTTATTTCTTTCCATTATGAGGGATTGGTAGGCTTTGTTAACTTTCTAACTATGGTAAGTTAATAGTTTGTTTGATTTTATAAATGTTTCTCATATTTTATAATTACTCTTCTATTTATTGACGGAAAAAAAAATAAAATACTTAGCACTTCGAGCAAAGCATAAAATAACTTTTCATATTCTATTTTTATTGCATGCATGTCAATTAATTAGTAAAATGATATACCACGTCAGATTAGTTACGTAACGTACCATTACATAAAATATTTTCTCTTTAAATTGTTACTTCAAACTACAGGAGAGGAGTAATACCAGACATGCCATGTGAATATTATAATTTTTAAACTTTGAAGAATTTAGAATTGAGCATTTGAAGTATTTTGAAAGCTCACTACATTTGTAAAATATATAAATAAAGATATGTGCTAAAATTAAGTTTTTTGATGTGTTGAAATTAAAATTTTTAATTTGTAGTGATTTGTGTGAAAATTGAGAATTTGGATTTGTTTTGTTTTGTCTTAAAATTTAAAATTTTTTATTGAGGATTTATATTTTTCATTTTTAAAAGATGAAGATTGATAGGCAATTATAAAAATTTACACATTTTTTTTTTTTTTTGGTAATGAAAGTAAGGTTATTGATTATGCAAATATATCTATCTATATATATATAGATATATAACCCTAGAAAGACAATTTATTGATTAAAAATAAGCGAATAAAACGCTAATGCTAAAAGAAGTTAGGATAAATTACACCGACTTCCCTTTAAATTTGGCAAGTTTACAATTTACCTCATATTTTTAACATAATTGCACTAACATCCTTTGCCAAGAGTTAATAAGGGTAAATTATACTAACATTCCCTAAGATTTGAAAAAAATACAGTATGCTCCACAAGTTTAACATAATTAAATTGGACTCTTTTAAGGTTTTGATTCATATAATATGTAATATCATTTTCATCAGCAATTCGTTAATCATATGGATGTAAAAATGGTATTATTATCTCTTTTACATTGAAATATATACGTAACCTTGTTTACCTTTATGTTTCTACATTATTTGTATTACTTTTAATCAATTTATCCTTACGAAAAAAAAGTTAGTATAATTATATCAAAATTATAAGACTTTAATATATTTTCTCTAAACATTAAGAAGGTTAACTATTAGAGGGGAGTTTCTATTTACACAATGGATTTGTCTTTTCACGCCCCATAATTTCATTTTATTTTACTACATTTTGTTCCTTTATAAAATTACCTTTAAAGGCTAAAACCCTCAAAATCTTTCGTTTTTACACCTTTTCCTTTTTCTTCCTATCACCTACCATTACCTTTTTTCTCTACCAACCACCGCCACCTTACCATCATCGCTTCTCATCGAGCAACTATTACACCCTCTATCTCTTTACTCACTCTTTTCATTCATCTACAAATCCTAACACATATACCATACAAAAAATAAATAAATAAATAAAAAATAAAAAATAAAAAGATAATTCAAAGTTAAAATGTATATATGACAATATCATTTTTTTTCCCCATTCATATGACTAACGAATTAGTGATGAAAAATGACTAAAGTGTTGTGTAAATTAAAACCTTGAGAGATGTTAGTGTAATTATGTCAAAAGTATGAAATAAACTATATATATTTAAATCTTAAGGGGTGTGAGTGTAATTTACCATAAAATATGTCAAGAAAGGTCAGTGTAATTTACCTTGAATCTTTTGTAGCCAATAAATTGAGTTTTAAAAAATAGGGCTTGATCCTCTTCAATTGAGATATTCAATTAGTCGGACCAATCGAGCCTACTATGGCCCTATTTTGAAGATTCAAAATCATTCATTTTATAGGGTTCTCTTGAGTGATTTTCGATGCCTGATCAACATATTTTTAGTATATGTGGATGGTGAATTTGTCTTCACATGAGATTAAAGAGATAATGTGTTTTATTCTACACCCACAAGAGAAAATCAGAATAGGTCACCCTCGACGATCAAATTAGTGTTATGGTTGGACATGATTAGGTAGGAAAATAATGAAAAAGTGTGTTTGTGTAATTGTTCTTAGTTATTTCTGTGTGTCTTTACTTGATTGCTTGATTCACTTTTATAGTTAACTGGTACATTGTCGTCAACCATCAGATTTCTTTTTATGAGATGGCCAGCCTTTTATTAGGGGGTCACTTTGGCAGTAGCCAACTTGCTGTTGTTATTGATCGTCAAATCTCTATTGATCGAACGGTTGGTTTCCTGTCAGAGATAGTGGCCAACTTGTATTTGTTATTGATCATCAGATCTCTGTTGATCAGACAAACATCCTTTTAGGTCATTTTGATAGTGGCCAACTTGTACTTCGTTGTTGCTTGTTGGATCTACCTTTATTAGGCGATCATCTTTTCATCAGGGGTCAATCTCTTATTTGAGTTTAAATTTATTTGATACGTTGGATCAAGTCGGTTCCCTTATCATGGGCCTTTATTTGCACAGGTGGACTTGACTTATTTGGATCTACATTTCTATTGGGCCTAATTTTTACCCTCCACGATACATATGATCTCTTCAAAAGGCTTTATAAAATGAATGATTTGAATTATCAAGATGGGCTTAAAATATACTAGACTAACCATTAGTTGAATGTCCCTTTGACTTTGGATGAGTTTGAGGTTTCCCACATCTTTTTTTTAAGATTCTTTGTTGTTCATATCTCTAAACGGTGAGGGTAGCGACTTTCACACCTTGAAATGCACCGTTCTTATAGAGATAAATGCGCTTTAACATCTTCTTTACTTGGAATGAATGAGTAAAGAAAAGGAAGATGATAAAATCCCCTAGAAAAAAAGGGTTTAAAACACAGCAATTTCTAACACAGAATGCATATATATGATACATATATTTGTATCTCACAAATACAAATACAAATATTTTTTTATTATATTACATATATATATTCTATATTTAAAATTTTTATGTTCCTAATATAGTCCATTAAAAAAATTGTGATTAATAATGGCTCCTTTAATTCAATGTTTTAAAAGGCCTATAATCACAGAGGAGTAATATCTAGGGTTAAATCTTAAGAAACTGAGACTATAAATTGAGTTCGGATCCCCTCATTGCAAGTCTTCCTTGATCTCCTCCTTGCAACGACTGAGATCAGTCGTTGCACATCCAACGACCATAAATAAATAAATAAATAAATAAATTGAATTTTCATTTTCATTTTCCCGCCCAAAACAAAACACAAAACACAGCCTATACAGATTTTGGTTTGGAATCACACTCACAAAAACACACTCATTCCTTCTTCTCCGTCGAACCCACTCTCACCGGCGACCCAGTCTTGACGTCGTTACAGATTCTGTCTACTTGGCAAACCAGAGTCATCACGCTCTTCTCCTCCACCTCACCGACAGACCTTTGCTATAGCGACCAGAGGTTAGTCTTCATTGTCTCTGTAATTGTTTTGTCCTCACTCCCCAAACCGAATCCATTGATGTCTGTAATAACATTGATGTCTGAAGACTAACCTCATTGTCTCTGTCTGTAATTGCAATGAGGCTGAAGACTAACCTCATTGTAATTACACTGTATAGGCTGAAGACTAACCTCATTGTCTCTGTCTGTAATTACAGAGACAGAAATTGAAACAAAACAAAACATAGTCTTCATTGTATGTCTGTAATAACAATGAAATACATTCAATTTACACTGTCAATGGTATTTCAGTGTTAAAAATACTGTGTATTTCAATGTGTGTATGATTGTTTAGAATCAAATGTGTACCACTGAAATACATTCAATGGTATATATTCAACACTGTATATTTCAATGGTATTGCAGTGTTAAAAATACTGTGTCAATGAAATACATTCAATTTCCCGAAATACAATACAAACACAATCAATTAACATTCATGTGAACCTATAGATAGATAAAAAAAATTCATTTGTTATAATTGATGATTAAGCGCTTAAAGTTCACAATTTGTATTTTTATGTTATTTTGTATCCGTTGAGCTACAATAAGTTTGCCAAACCCTGTGCAGTGACCCAACCCAAAACTAAATGACTCTTGTTGCCCATGAATCAGTGTTACCAAAGGTACTTGGCTTGCATACCTTTTCTTAGACACTTTAAAGAGAACCAAGTAGTTGGAGTTTGGGATTATATAGTTTAATTGATTTATTATTTGATCTTAATTGGGTCTCACTACTTAGTTCTCATTTCTTGTTTCTAGTTTAATTGATTTATTATTTGATCTTAATTGCATACCTTTTGTGTAGTTCTCATTTCTTAGACACTTTAATTGATTTATTCTTGTTTTCTTTTGTCTCTGAAATAAAGATATTATTTATGTAGCTAAAGATTTTATTTATATGGGTTTTCAGTTGCATTTTGATATGGATATGGAACCTGAGAATGATTGTGCTTGGAAGTCAAAACATGGAATGACATTTGATTCTGAACAAAGTGTGTATGATTTTTATAATACATATGGAGAAAGAATGGGGTTTAGCATAAGAAGGGATTATTGTAGGAAGAACAAGTTTACTAACCAACTTATTTGTAGACTTTTGGTTTGCAACAAGGGAGGATTTTGGAAGGTTGACAAACGAGACCCATTGGCAAAAAACCCTAGAGCTGAAACTAGGACCGGTTGTGAGGCTCGACTTTATGTAAAATTAGATGATTGTACTGAGAAATTTATTGTGACTGATTTCAAAGAAAAACATAACCATGATCTTGTATCACCCGAGTGTGCCCACATGTTGCCGTCACAAAGAAAGATATCGACTACCCAAGTAATTTAGTTAGATTTGACGGCACAATCTGGTCTTCATTTAGGCCGGTCTTTTGAACTCATGGGTAGGGAAGCTGGTGGGAGGCAATGTCTTGGGTTTACAAAATTAGATCAAAAAAATTATTTGAGAACCAAAAGACAACAAAGTTTAGCATATGGGGAAGTATGCAATGTGTTGCAATACTTTAAAGAAAAATCTTTGCAGAATCCTTCATTCTTTTATGCTTTTCAGTTAGATAATGAGGAGCAAATAACCAATATGTTTTGGGCCGATGCACAAATGATCATGGATTATGCCCAATTTGGTGATGTTGTCACATTTGATACGACTTACAAGTTAAACAAAGAACATAGACCCTTTGCATCTTTTGTGGGATTCAACCATCATAGGGAAACAGTTATATTTGGTGCAGCATTGTTGTATGATGAGACTGCCAAATCATTTGTATGGTTGTTTCAAAATTTTCTAGAGGCTATGTCAAGAAAGGCACCAAAAACTTTGTTCACCGATTAAGATGCTACAATGGCTAAAGCCATACCCATCGTTATGCCTGACACAAGTCACCGATTGTGTACTTGGCATTTGATATAAAATGCATTAAAACATGTTAATTGTTTGTTCCAAGATAAAGGGGGTAAAGGGTGTACTAAATAAATTCTTCTTTGGCATTGAAGATGCAAATCAATGGAAGTTAGAGTGGGCGGAAATGCTTGATAAATATGATACGCATGAAAACCATTGGTTGAAATTGACTTTTGCGGTGAAAGAAAAATGGGGCTGGCCATATGTTAGATCAACATGGGCTGCGGGAATGAGTACCACACAACTTAGTGAATCTTTTAATGCTTTTTTAAAGGATTACATTCGTTCTGATTTTAACTTAAATGAATTCTTCATGCATTTCGAAAGGGTACTTTACGAGAAACGATACAAGGAATTAGAAACCGGATATGCTTTGTGCCAAAGGTTGCTAAAGGTGAAAGCAACAATAAGAATGTTAAATTCAAATGGGTAATGTGTACACAAAAAAGATCTTTGAGGAATTTCAAAATGAATACTTTGGATCCATTGAATCGGACATAGAAACAATTGAATATGGCGAGGCTAGTACCATTTACACAGTTATTGATGTTGGTAACAAACATACAAGGAAAGTCAAGATGGAGAGGGATGACTCTTTGGGTTGTAATTGTACAAAGTTTAAAAGGGAAGGAATCTTGTGTTGTCACTCATTGAAGGTTATTAGAGACATATTGAAGATGAAAGAGGTTCATCCACAATACATTCTAAAGAGGTGGACCAAACAAGAAAGAGTCAAAACTGTGAAGGACATTAAGGGGAATGACATTCAAGTAGATGTGAAATTCCAACATGCCTCGCGGTATAAGACATTGATGACTGCATTTAGAACACTAGCAAGTAGAGCTGCTGAAACTGAAGAAACTTATGATTTTTGTATTGCACACCTTGCTACATTAGATGCAAATGTTGAAGGCAAGTTAAGTGCTCGTTTTGGTGTTGGAAATGAAGTAAGTAATGATGATGACACCCAAAGCTTTGAAGTGGATTGCGAAGATATGAATCAAGTTGTGTAACCAAAAGGATTGAAGAAAAATGTGGCAACTAGTAAGGGCAAAATGAGGGTAAAAGGTGGATTCGAAGCGGCGTTGGTAGCGAACTCCAAAAAAAAATCTGTGCTAATAGCTTGGCTTCATCAAAATCTATTGCAAGTCCAACAGTTGCACCTTCTCCATTATCTGTTGGAGGAGATATCTATGTTTGTCAACATGTTCCTCTTCTTCAACCTCTTCCTCCCCTTCATCCTCTTCTTCAATCTTTGCCCATGGGTGGTAATTCTATTCCTCCGCCATTGATGTATCCCACATATCATGTAAATGTTAGTTTAACATTATATTTTTTGTGTGGATATAATATGCGACTCAAACCATGATTGCGAAGCCTAATATATGACATTGTTGTAGGCGAACAATTTGCGGGAGATGTGTGTAGTGCCAAATTCTTTGCCAAATTCAATGCGTCAACGGTATTATGCTCAACCAACATTCTAGTCACTACTTCAAGGTTCATGTGGATATGACATTGGGTTTCGATATTCTCAAGAATCAAACAGTCCAATGTGTAGTCGGGTTCGTCCTTGCTGTTTTTTAATTTTTAGTTGCTGAAAATTTTGTTAGAGCATGTATTTACTTGCTGAAAATTTTGTTTAAAGTATGTATTTAGTTGCTGAAAATTACGAAAAATTCTGTCTTTTTTCCGTTTTAGGCTATGGACAAGCAGAAAGAGAAGCAAACTAATGCTGAAATTGGCATGGAAAGTGAAGTCATAACAGCTCAAATTGTGAAGCAAACTGCTGCTGGAAAGTGATGTTGCTGCTATGAAGCAAACTGGCTTGTATGTGTGTTCAAAGAAAAATGTTAATGGTTTGTATGTGTGTTCAAATGTTAATGGCTTGTATGTGTGAACCAATGTGTTAATTTAGATGGACCAATGTGTTAATTTAGATGGACCAATGTGAGCAAACTTCACTTGATGTTAATTTACACTTGATGTTATACATCATTTTATTTTGACTGATTTTTAAATGGACCAATGTGTGTGTTCAAATTTTTAGATTTTTTTTTTGTGTGAAAGAACAGGTACACAGATTTGCAACAGATCTGCCAAATAGATGCTTGAGTGCAATTTTGTTTAGATGCAATTTTGATGCCAAACAGATTTGCCAGTTGATGCAATTTTGTTTAGATGCTTGGGTGTTGTTAAATTTTGTTTAGATGCCAAATAGTATCTACAAATCTGCCAAATAGCAGCCGCAGATCTGCCAAATAGATGCTTGGGTGTAATTTTGTTTAGATACAATTTGATACAATTTTGATGCAATACAGATGCAATTTTGATGCCAAACAGATCTGACAGTTGATGTAATTTTGTTTAGATGTTGGGGTGTTGTTCGATTTTGTTTAGATGCCAAATAACAGCCACAGATCTGCTAAATGGCAGCAACAAATCTACAACAAATCTGCCAAATAGATGCTTTGGTGCAATTTTGTTTAGATGCAATTTTGATGCCAAACAGATCTGTAACAGATAACAGAACTTGTTCATTGGAACCAAAGCATCAAAAAACAACATCCACAGATCTACCAAATCTGCTTTAAACTTGCTAACGGATAATAGTTGAGGCCACAGATAAGTGACAAACAGATAATAGTTGACAGATAACAGATCTGCCAAATATATTCATTAGAACCAAACTTGCAACAGATAATAGAACTTGTTCATTAAAACCAAAATTCATTCATCCAAATAACTTCAAATAACAGAACCTGCAACAGATAACAGGCCACAGATAAGTGACAAAGCATCCACAAAAATTCATTCACATAGCATTCACAAAATTCATCCACGTAGCATCCACAAAATTCATCCACTAATCTACCAAATAGCATCCACAAAGCTCTAACAATGAGACCAATGTTTTTCAAAATTCATTCCATAATAGAATTCTAAGTTACATCATAATAACTTATAAAATTCATTCCATAAGAAAATTCATTCCACAAAGCTATTAAGTAAGTTATATAAGTTATATCATAATAAAATTCATTCCATAAACATAAGTTACATCACGAAGTACAATACAACAAAAAATGGTAGAAACTTCCATTCAATTTTCCAAAATACAATAAAGTATAAAAGTTACATCATAAAGTACAAAATGATAGAAAATATAATGAAATACACCATCGCTTTGATATTATTTTCTATCCTTTCAAGCCTTCGACCATAGTCATTTTTCATGCCATTAAGCGTCGTCTTTACATCGTTAAAGTCTTCTACTGTTATAGCATCACAAGCTTTAGTGTTGGAACGGATTTTGGACGTAACGTCTTCATCATCTTCATCCACGAACTTGAAGTAATTGCAATGGGGAGTGAGAGTGTTACTCTACAATACATGACAATCAGTTAGTTAAATAAGACAAATATTAATGTGACTACTAAAGGATTAAAATTTCCAATACATACTTACATATTTTGATGGGCAAACAAATAACAAACGCCATTGATTTCCATTCTCATTGGTTCTTATAATATATATGGTAGCGGTTCTTCCACAATTGCACAGCCTCAGTTGTAATCTTACGTTGCTATTCTTAGAAGAAGAAGCCATTTTTTAAAACTGCATACATGAGAAATTTGTAGTGCTGTGCTATGCTTGTGTTTGATGGGGTTAATAGCAGTTCTATTTGAATTTGAGGGACAGAGTGTATGTCTTTACTGAAAACATCTATTTGTTCAAACTACCATGTTTAATAGCATTTGAACAGAAGTTATACAGACTAAACTGTTAATAACATTTGAACAAACATGGCAGTTTAATGTCAGTCATTTTTTTCAGTTTCAAACATAGCATTTGTGATTATTTACACACATGTTATACACATAACAGTTTCAAACTGAACAAACATGGCAATTTTGCATGATTGAGTACTTTTATGGCATCTTCTCTGTAATAAGGGTAACAGAACAATATATTCAAAAACAATATGTTCCTCACAAAATTTTTCAACAAATCATACTATTTATCAATATGCATAATTTGGCTCCGAAATGCACATAATTTGAAGAACCCAAATACCAAAATCAAGTCAAATGGTGGCTAGTAGCCACTGTATATGAAAATCTTTCCACCAAGCTCATAAAACACAAGAAAATGCATGACTATGACAATCAACCTAGCAAGCAAAAAATACAAGGACCAATACATTGAGTTCCAGAAACCAAATAAGATTAACACATTAACAGAAAAATCAAGAGAGAATTTACCACTCACATCTGGAATAAGAATACAGACCAAGAGCAAAACCAAAAACAGGTATATTAGGAAACACACACCGGTAAATTGGTATGAACAAGTTCAATCAGAAAGATCAATCTTCATTGAAACTAAGAAAGATGAATAAGTATGAACAAGTTAAATCAGGCTCTTCTCCAAGCACAAATGTCTACCAGCACAAGCAATTTTGATAGCCCTAATTTTTATTGATTAATTTTGAAAGTCCTAATTTTCAATTTTCAAATTTCAAATCTATTTTCTCAATCACAACCCTAACTTTTTGATTTCAGCGTTTCGAGGACGAACCTGGTTCATCTATGGCCTTAAAACCCACATTCTCCTCAACAAATTCCTTCGCTCCAGCCGATGGTGGGCGCGGTGGAGCTATGGTTCGCGAAGCAGAGAAAATGAGGGCTACAGCGGTGGGTTGGGTTTATGAGTGGGTCGCCATTGGAAGTGGTCGCCGGTGAGGCTGGGTTCAGTAGAGGAGAAGGAGTCAGTGTGAGAGTGAGGGAGAGGGAGAGGGAGAGGGAGAGTGAGAGTGAGATTGAGATTGAGGTCAATGTATATTCTGTATAACCTGTATAGCAGAGCGGGAAAACTGAAATTTCTATTTTTTTTTTTTTTTTGGCCGTTGGATGTGCAACAGTTGATCTCAGCCGTTGTAAGTAGGATATGAAGGAGGCTTCTCAAGGAGGGGATCCAGACTTCTATAAATTACTCTCGGGTGATGATATATGACAGTACCACTCAGGTCAAGTTTGGGATGTTCCAAAAAAGCCAAAAAGCCAAAAAGTTACTCAAAAAGTTAAAAAGTTAACACTATTCACCAAAAGTCAACAATTACGACTGCACAACTCCCAATTCAAATTTTTTCCTACAAATCAATTTTTACAATTTTTTATTACACATTTTTCAATAAAAAGTCAAAAAATTAACCCAAACATCCATATTTTCAACCTCAATTTTTTAGTCCAAAAAGACAAAAAGTGCACTTATTTAGTCTTCCCAAACTTGGCCTCAATTATATATCAATAAATCATAAATTAACATACAAATAAAAATCGATGGTGTTACATGCACCAATTAGTGTACTAGTTAATGTACCAATACTAGTTATGATATTATTATTGACCACACTCATTATATAAATTATAAATACCAAAAATATCTTAAATTATGACATATTATCAATTAATACATTAATTAATATATTAATTAGTGCATATAGTATTATTTAATAAAAATTTAAACTTACACTCTTGACATTGGTTACGATTGACCAAACGTGTAAAATTTGAGTTACCAATCATGTTTGACATTGATTACGACTGACCAACGTGTAAAACTTGAGTTATCAATCATGGATGGTGTGATCTCAATTAACTTTGTACTACCATATTGGCGCTATTTAGGAAGTTTGATTTTTGTTTTTTTTATTAAAAGATAAATTGATTATTAAAAAGAAAATAAATTTAAACAAAATATCACATCAAATTCTATAATTATTTTACTTTTTCTTTTTACAAATATCACATCTAATTATAAAAAACTTAACTATCTTTTTAAATAAAAAAAAAATTGTATAATAAAATTTCACAATTAAAAAAACTTACAAAAAAATTTCCCTCATCAGACGCCCACATTATTAATGAGAGAAATGAAACACGAGTAGCAGACAGACTAGTGACAACAGAGGCACGTGGGTCACGATGGTAGTGGTAGTAGCCTAGTAGTG